TTCATCTCGTTGTAGATATCCCGAGTTTTGAAAAGTGCCATTTTATTCGTGTCTTGGAAAACCTATGCACCAGAGTCAGAGCCAGAAAACGAGAGGGAACCCGCGCACATTCAGGCATAGTTGCTCGTCTTTATCCATCAGCCAGAACGCGTACTTCCAAATTAAACTCGAATCGTCAGTGCTCAACGTGAGAGCACAGACGTCTTCGGGCTGCTTATCAAATTCTGGATCGCGCCACACCCCATCCAGGAGTCTGCAGCTGCATTAGCGACTTGTTTGTATCACAGATTTGTGAAGCTTACCTTGTCCAAAGCTCCAAAACCTTGGCAATTTCACCTTCTCGGAGATAGATGTCCGATAGCAAGTTATATCGTCCCCAGTCCTTTAAGAAGGTGTCGAGCTCAGAGAGGATACAGTCATTTGACGTGCGAAGCAGCTGATGAAGATCTTCATCCAACTTGCCGTCGATGTAAAGTTTGGCGAGAGTAGTATCAACCAACTGTGAGTTTCGCAACAGTCAGAAATCAAGAGTGAGTATGGGATGATGACAGACCTCATCAATCGACTTGAGCTGCTCTTGCGTATACCCTTCAACTATACGGGCATCTTTCCGTCGTCGCCGACTCCTCCATTGCTGGAGGTAACCGCTCAGCATGTTGGCAGCGTTGGTCATCAATGCGCCCTTCAGCTCTGATGTGGCTGGTGCGGACTCAACATCAGGTTTGATGTGTGGAGCATAATTCTTTTGTAGATTGCCAACGACTGGGGTTGTATACACTGTTAGCAACCACCACCCCTATGTCATAAAAAATCGCACCTATATCCTCGATGCTTCCGGTTTCAGCGATAACAGGAACGATGCCAGCATAAACATCAGTCTCTTCTCCGTTTTGTAATAAGCCGCCGACCATGTCGGGAAAGAGGCGGATTATAAGCCGAGGGTCGACTTTTGACTTCATCAGAAGTTTGCTGGCTTTCACGAACTCAGTCTGGAGAAGATAAAACCAGAGGGCTCTTTGGTAAAGGAAACTTTTCTCCGTCGCCTGGTTTATCTGTAAGCTGCTGTGCGGAAAGAGACGACATCAGCTTACCTCTTCGGGCGAATCATCACCCTCGCGCTCCAACAATTCCACGGCTTCGTCCATCTTCCCCGTTCCCATCATTTCTTCAACCCTACCGACGAGTCCCATTCTCCAAACTGCCCACACTGTATCTTTCCCAATGACAAAAGTTTTAGCCATCCCTCCACCACCTAGTTTCGCAACACCGCCAAGTGTGAAAGTCGTAGTCAGGGATGAGGCAGAAGCAACAGAAAGAGGGCGTTGGTGTCCCCGTCTCCTAGAACGCGATGGTAAAGGTGATGACGTCTGAGATCGTGGTCCAGGAGAGGAACGAGGGATCATAGGCGATAGAAGGAATCTGACTGGCCTGAGCGGTTCTTCAATCATTGGCCGTCGAGAGGAAGAAGTGGAAGATGGTGGCCGTGACGGGTACATTGCACTCATCGCGGATGGAGGTGGGGACAGAGGCGGTGTGGGTGGTGATTTTGGTGAGCCGACGGTGGAAGAGGGACGTGGCGTGTTTTGGGACTGCGGTGTAGGGATATAGAGTGGCGTGTAAGTGTGCGCGATAGATCGCGGTTTCACATCTGCCGCTATTGGAAGAGTTTGCGAGAGCCTTTGGTTTGATAAGCGATGGATTTGAAGAGTGGAATTCTTCAGTAAGGAAACGACGTATTGAGCATCAACAGCTTTAGGGAGCCATCAATTACGACTCGTTGAGCGATGAGATGAAATGGAAGAATACATACTGACAGCAATAGTGTTGCTTTCCCATTCCATCGTACCTCGACACGGTTCCCCATTTTCATTCATAAACATGCCCAAAGTTCCGCTCTCCGCGTTATGAGTAGCCATCAGAAATGCTGCGTCTCCCTCCTCGTCTCCTTCTTGTCCAGGGATAACCACAGCAATGCACGGTCGTTGTGGAGTGCCAGACGGGATCGATGAAACCGGCATGAGAGCTGTAAATGTGCCACTCGAAAGCTCAAGCAAGCCATAGCTGTCTGTATCAGCCAGACAGACTGTCGAGAGCGTCAAGCGACACAGAAAGCCCTCCTGTGGTATCGAGACCTCCTATTTTCCTTCTCAGCTACAGCTACGGCTGGTCGCTCAATGACCAGAATTCGTACATCAGGAAGCATAGGTCGAAGTCCCTCAATAGCCATACGACCGTACCACACCCTCTTCTTCCTAATTATGCAGAGTGCGAAGCTCATCCCTTCAGCTGCTTGTTTGTCCTTGACTAACGTCGCGTTGTACAACTCGGAATCATCGAAGGCGAAGGTTTGCACATTCCGAAAAGTTGGAAATGTCGAGGCGGGGAGTAAGGAGAAGTCTGACAAGGAGTGAAAGGAAAGAATTCCGCCTAGTGGACGGTTAGCATTTGATGTCAGGCGGAGAGCAAATGAAATGTCGTGATTAGAGTGCAACGATTTTTGTAAGAAACAAGTGTAGGCTTCAATAACCTCTTCAGACTGTACGAATCATCGCTACCGCGAATAGAAAATATCTATCCCAATCGCATTGTCCGTACTGTTGGTGAGTTATGGGAACTCTGCTCAGAGCTCTTGCCATAGCTGAAACTGGCTGGGCTGAAGGAATCTAGGCAGTCTGCTCTGGCAGCAAGTATCACCGAAAGGGCGACAGTATTGCTCTTCTGAGCCGAACAAGTAAAAACGCAGCCATTTCTCTCCTTCTCTGCCACGGCTCCATTGAACGCTCTCCATCACCTACGATGTTCAGACTGTAGAACCAAACGAGCAGACATATAGTATTTGCAAGGGTGTAAATTTGGTCTTTACCCGCCATCGCTATAATGAAGAAGCTTGACTAAACTGCAGCAGTCCACCTTCTAATTCATCGAACTGCGTTCGGCAAGTGCGAAGAATGTGTCCCAACAGCCAGCCAAAGGAAGAACGAGAAAATGTGACAATAACTGTTCACTGGGTCTTTTCAACGACCTTGTGCCGAGGCCAAATTGCAAAAAGTCAGTGTATTCAACACACAAGCAACCGGTGCGGCTGTTAACTTTGGCAAAAGGGGATATACAACATCACAATTGTGTCCCAGAAAGGGCAATAAGGAGTGCGCCTGATTGCAATCACGGAAACCCAGTTGAGTAGATAAATGAAGCCGACTGCTCCTCTAACCTAGAGTGCTCACAAAAGAGACTCACCGCTCAGTATGACAACAATTCCGATCTCCTTAACCACTTTCAGTCGACTAACACCTTTTCCTCCACTCCCACCAGATATTCCTGACCCAACATGCATAAGCTCTGCCACATTCCAAGCATTCTCTAGCCTTCCATCGCTGGCGAAAGTGAGGATGTGTCCTGTCGAGGTTCCAACGTATAATGTCGGGGGTACGACGTCAAGCGAGGTGTAAGTGCCATAGGCTTGTGTTTGGGCTTGGGAAGTGGATTGGGACAGAGGAGGAAGAAGGGGAACGAGAGAGAACATCGTTTTCTTTGCGGCTTTCAGCTTACCCTGAGAGAGAGAAGTTCCGACCGCTCGATCAAAGCAAGTAAAATCAACCAGTCTTCCTAGCACAGTCCCAACATACTCTATCCTTAGACCTCACGGAGGTGATCAGGTGCTGTTAGTTTAGTGCGGTGTAGCAGCGGTAGAAAAGACTGTAAAGAGTTGCGGGCAGAAGAATCGTAAGTGGTTTGTTTTCTTTCTGATCAAGGGTTCTTGTGTTCACACTCCACTAGAGCAGCATGCCGCCAAAACCGTCATCAAAAGCAACCTCCAAATACCAACGGAAGGGGGCCAAGCCACCCCAACCGAAGAAAGAGCTTTCGCCGGAAGCGAAGCAGCTGAAGAAGTTCCGTTCCTTGCACTCCCAGCTATCTACACCGTCTCCTTCCTCAAAGGCCTTGAAGACCCTCCGATCCCTCCCCTCTTCGCTACTCGCCTTTAGAACACACTTGCAACTTCTCATATCCCTTGACTCCTACGGACCCGCACTGTCCTTGCTGTCCGAGAAGCAGCAGTGGAAAGAGATTGCGTTGGAGAATGCATATTGTTTGATGCGGGTGTGGAGGGAAGGAGAGGCAATGGAGGCATTGAAAGTTGCAGAGGAGGTTCACGAGGACGGCGAATATGGAGAGGATCGCGATCGTGGTGTTCAACTTCTCAAAGCTCAGTTGGTAGGTACTCATCTCCATCCGCTTCAATCCTAATTCCAGTTCTTTGCTTAGGCCTATCGCTTAGGAGACTACGATACTGCCGTAAAGCAGTACGAACAGCTAATAGAAGAAGTCGATCCCTCGTCTGGTGAACATTCCGACCTTTCATCCAATCTGCTAGCCTCCCGCTCCCGTCTCACCTTCCACAACCGACTCCCCGATCTCGTCCATCTCTCTCGACAAGAGCGTTCCCTTCCTCCCACCGAAGTGCTGGAGAACCGGCCCGTTCTCCCGCCTGCGAAAACGCGCGCTCCCATTGTCCCGAAGAAGAAGGCGAAGGCGAAGAAGGAGGAGGTGAAGGGTAAAGATGGGAAGGAACTGGATCCGGAGAGGTGGATTCCCCTTAAGATGAGGAGCTATTATGTGCCGCCTACTGGCGTAGGCAAGAGGAAGAAGGAAAAGGAAAAGGAAAAGCTGCTTACGCAAGGAGCCGCGGAGGGGGTAGGCAATGCGGCTGGAGGAGGGAAAAAGAAGAAGGGGAGAAGGTGAACCATGCTCATGCAATGTATAAGCCCATTTTTCCTAATTGTGTATTTTTGTGGTCGGTATAACGCAGATATGGCAACTAAAGTGCCACTGAGAGGGCTGCAGACGCAGAGATGGTATTCATGAACCATGATGAAGCGTTGTGAGCTCAAGGACTCAAACGTGAGCAGGAGATATGTGGGAACGGTCTATAACTGAAAGTGGACGTTTGGGACATTTGTGGGGTGTGAAAAAAAGAAGGGATAGAAAAGTGACAAAAGTGACTTGTAAGGGACTCGAACCCTCAATCTTCTGATTCGTAGTCAGACGCCTTACCATTTGGCCAACAAGTCTATTTGATATGTTAGACGGACCCATTAAGCCTCTATATATCATAGGATACTTTCAATGAAAAATGAACAATAAAATTACATTTTGTAAACACCAGTTTGAAGTTTGAAGAATAGTAAACAGGTTGTATATATATAGCCGGAGCTAAGCACCACGATAGATCACAGTCCTGAGAGAGCACTCAGCATCTCTCCTTAGCCACTTTCAGTCCCGCGACCTCTTGGTGCTCTTCGAGGTTGTCAAACACTAATTGTGTCTGGAAAGCGTCTTCTGGACCTAAGATTATTGGGCCAGTACCGTTGAGTCCACATATTCTGCCTTCTCCCCCAGCAAGGCTTGGGTAACTGTCTGCAGCTCCCCAACCTTTTCCGATGGCATCAATCCAATTTCCTACTTCAGTGTCTTTCTCGGCATGAAACAAGTCGCTTTCTTCTGCGTAGTACCTGCGCTCATTCGTTAGAGCCGAAAGAAATAGAGACGTGCGAAGTACCACCAATCATCCGCTCGATCTAGAACCAATCTTAGAACCTCTTCCGTCTCTGAAAGCGAAAACGAACATGCGTTTTTAGTCAACTGAGAAAACAGTTCGCACCACAGCGTCTGCATTGCATCGCAGTTTTAGCTTTAGCGAATACGTATTATAAGGAGGCAACCCCACATTCTTATTGGGAAAGTTGGGGTGTTTAGACCATCCTGCAATTCGTGAGCCTCTGCAGTCATTCTGGAGTGAGCTGCAAACCAGGGTAGACAAGCCTGTTGGCCACAGCACAATTACAAGGGGAGTGAGGTGAAATAGTCCACATCAACGTACGCGTGATCTCCTTCTCCGTTTGGCATGCTATTCAACTCATCACTGCAGATACCAGTTAATGAGTGCAAGTCGTCAGAAGAAAAGAACAGACTCGACAGTAGATGCGAGACTCCATTTTTGGTCCAATCTGAATCCATGGTAGCTGAAAACTTGGTAATCGCGAATAAATTCACCGTTGGGCTGTTTGGTCCATACAACCTTTATCTCCCGTTCAGAACTAAGAGGTGGATGCTGAAGTATGGATCTACAATATAATACTCCCTGTGCCGCAGCTCATGAGCTTACACGAGACATAAGTGGAGGGAGTCGAACCAGTCGTGCCTATGTCCAGTGATGGTAAATCCATCTTTTGGATAGTACACCTAAACGGATGTTACAACTAAAACGAGCAGTTGAGAGTCAAGATCCGTACCCAAAATCCAGCTCTCACCTCCGTGTTGGAGCATTGTGAAGCAATCCAATAATGAGGGAAAGGTCGGCCCTTCACTCCACCTTCCTTCCTGCAATAAGTAACTTGCTTTGTAAACCAAGAGCGCTCACCATCCTCTCCACTCTCACTGGGATATTGACATCCGCACCCTGCATCGGGCCAAGCGCAAAGGTCCTGGCCTGGATTCTGAACACCTGTGGTGTGATTCACTGCCGCTTCGGGATAGCATGGTGGAGTACGCTTTGAGCAAAAACTCTTCGGTGGCATTCCGAATCCCCATCGTGGGCGAGATGCAACGACGAAAGGATATAATCCTTCATTATCGAGCGTGGACTGAGAAATCGGTGTGTTCGCGAGGCTAGAGTGAAAGAGGAAGACGACGATGAAGAGGCACTTCATGCTGATGCGAGGCAAAGGGAGGTGCCAACGTTGAAGTGTACGACGACCTCAGGCCTCAAGACGAGGGAAATAGCTAGGTCATGCGACGATTTCAGGGGCTTTCGGGCACGTTCCGGCGCTCCGTTACCTACTCGTTTGCTCAGGTCGGCCTAGCGCAAGGACCAGCAAACTTTTATTGTCAGCTGTACCATGAAATTTGTTGGATACAATAACGTGAGCTTTATCCAGTCCTCAAACAAACTGAAGAACAAATCACACAAGACTTCAACCAACCAGTTACAGCCAGTTCCAGTTCTAAAGAGGAGGGAGAGCGGAGAGAACACACCGAATGTCTGCAAACACCTCTAAGGCTTTCTAAGAGCCGTCTAAGGAACAAATGAACTGTGCCCTGGAACAACGGGTGGGAAGGGCACGTGCACCATTCGAACCTCTCCTGCTTTTGCCAATAGACCTGGTGGCAGAGCCAAGTAGATATGTAGACCATTAGAGCACGTATTCACCCATACGTCGACAAATCACAACATTCGGATGGGCAGAGATGGAAAGCAGGGGATGGCTACACTGAGGAGAGAATCAGGCAGAGACCGTCGCAGCCTAGATGGTATCATTATCAAAACGATCCCCCATGGAGTTCCTTCCAATGATACACTGGGAAATATTCTTGTTGACCAAAGCACCTGACGGCCAGGTTGAAGGATCGAAACTCTGCAATCTTAAGCCAGAACAAACTTGAAGGGTATACTGCATAAATATTGACCACAACTCGCATTGAACGTCACCAGTAACCACCTATCAGAAAAAAAGTTAAACCTTCTCCAAGTATCATCAAAGCTGACGACGCTCACCTTCTCAGGGGTAAAACCTAACATGTCTCTGTATCTACCCGTCTCTTGCGCAATCCACTCATCGGCACCATCTCCAGACCCAAATCGGCAAGCGTGATTGTATCGACAGCGGCCATCTTGCTCTCCCTATCCGCAACCCTCAGGATAACGCCTCCCGTCCCATTCAAGGCACAGATCCTCCCCTCGCCACCTGCAGAGCTCGGGTAACTGTTGGCGCTCCCCCAGTTCGCGCCGATGGAGTCAATCCAGCCTCCAATTTGCGTGGATGCGTCGGCTTGGAAGAGGTCGGATTCATCTGCATAGTACCTATGTATTACACGGGATGTGAGAATAGAGAAATGAAGGATGAAGAGCAGGAGACAGACCACCAATCGTCGCTGCGATCTAGGAGAGGAATTGAGCACTCTATAGTGAAAGAGGGTGAACGTACAAGCATTCTTTGTACTCTGCGACAAGGTGTCACAAAAGTGCGTCTTTCCTTCTTGTCAGCAGTGATGACACGCGAGAGCTAAGGACGTACATTCTTGTCCGGGAAGTTAGGATGTTTGGACCAGCCTAGCACGCTTTTAAGTTTCATCTCGGGAAGAGGTGATGTCATTCAATACCTGGATAAACAAGGCTGCATTCGGGGTTTGAGTTAGAGCGATAAGAGGGCAATTGAAGACGAACGCATGATTTCCTTGCCCATCAGCGACGGAATTCAAATTATCGCTGATCTTCATGTAAGCACTAGTGTTCTCAAGGCAAGGAGAGAGGAGGCCGTACTCGACGTTTGCAGCCACATTCCAGTTCTCCTGCAAACGATCCCCGTGGTAGCTGAAGACATGAGACGAACGAATGTAGTTCCCATCTGCCTGTTTAGACCATACGACGATGTAGTATTCCCTGCCATCCTCGGTTTCAATAACAACGTCGCGTGCAATGGAACAGAGGCAAGGGGAACGAACCAATCGTGCCTATGTCCTGAGCCGACGAACCCATCTTTGGGATAATACACCTAAGCAGGCACAATCAATCCAATTGCGATAAAAGACCCCAGAGCTGGAGACAGACCCAGAATCCCGCCCTCACTTCGGTGTTGGAGCACTGCGAGGCGATCCAATAATGCGGAAACGCTCTGGCCTTAATTCCACCTTATAAACCAATCTACGTCAAGATTCTCTTCATCTCACAGGAGGAAGCGACGTACCAGCCTGTCCGTTCTCCGAAGGGTATTGACAGCCGCAATTCGCATTGGGCCAGTCGCAGAGATTTTGTCCAGGGTTCTGTGCTCCAGTGGTGTGATTCACTGCGTACTCTGGGTAGCAAGGAGCAGTGCGACTGGGGCAAAGCGCTTTCGAGGGAATGCCGAACCACCACTTTGGACGGGAGGCAACAACGAAGGGGTATACACCCTGAGTGTCCAATGTGGACTGAGGGATGGGGGTGTTGGCCACCGCAAGACTAAGGAAACAGGAGACAGCGGTAAAGAGGAGTCGTGACTTCATGGCTCTGCTGGAAGGAAGGTGGGTTGGGTTGGGTGAAGGGAAAATTAATGATTCCTGCTCTTGAACCTCTCAGAGGAAGCAAAACATGATGAAGCTATATATGAGCCAGGAGTGCTAGGAGCGCTGCCATGTGGTCTATCTATCCACGTTTCCTCTAACATGAATGGACCCTCCTGACCGACGATCATCTGAACATTCTCATTGCGCATATCTGTAATTTCATGTGTCGTAGCATTCCGCATATAAGGAATCTCTAATTTTGTATAATATAGAGGCAGCTGTTTCGAGAGCAGGACTCTGCTAAGAAGAACTTGAATATGACGGAGATACCAAATTGCTAAGTACTGCAACTTCTGGAATTGGGAAACAGCACATCACCTTCTCCTCCCACTCTATGCCGCCTTCCTCACATCAACAAACCCAGGTACCCCAAGAACGTAATCCCTCAATACTCATATTCCTCTCGCGGAACACCTCTTGAAGTCAAAAGAATGAAATCGGAACCTAAAGTCACGTGCTGCATTGAGCATTGTCGTTACCAAAAACCACCAGTGAGCAAGCAATGTTGTCCCTCTCCTTGCCCCTTCGCAGGGCATTCTCAACATCCTCTATCCGCCGGACAGCGCGAGCACTGACAGAAACAACCGACTACTTAGCGGAAACGTGCGTTCTGAGCATCCCTGTTTGATCGCCTGGAATGAACTTACCCCGTTACCGTCCAGGCCTTTGAAGCATCCTCAGGCACCTAATCGTGTGGGAACTTGGTCGCGGTCCCAGCAGCCGCGGTGTGTCCATTACTTTATGTATCCGGGTGACGGAGGAGGCTGAGTTAGTGGATGGATGGTCAGGGAGGAGGGAATGGTCACCGCTCGTCACGAGCAGACGAATCTGAAATACCAACCTCAACCTCTTGCTGCTATTGAGATGATAGCGCAGGAACCGGTGCGGATGGTCAAGAGCCGGATTGCGGTTTGTGACGGAGGTGTGTCCTCTATTGTTCTCTGCCTTCATTTTGGTAAGCGAAAATGGG